TCTTTGGTACATTGGCATTAAAAATTTCAGCAAACTCACCATTTGGACAGTAGTTGTAAGGAGGACAATCTTTCAGATCAGCAGATACAGCACTCTGACAGTAGTAGCCAGCAGGACAGGGGTCACATGATGATTGACCCTGATTAATCTGAAATTGACCAGCAGGACATGGTAATTGACTGGCTGACCCTTCTGGACAGTAGTAGCCAACTGAACACTCAAATCCAGTAGGTGTTGGTGAGGTGGTTGTTTCATTATCTGGACAGTAAAAACCAGCAGAACAGAGACCAGTAGGTTCTGTTTGACCATCATTAGCACAATAATAACCTCCTGGACATTGGTAACAATCAGACAATACAGCTCCTCCTAAAATAGAAAAAATGGATTTTCATCTCAGAAACTTAAAAAATTGAAGCAGTCACATGATTCGCTTCTGATAAAAAGTTCCAAATCATGCTTTTCATTTTGAATTGCCAAAAGAGGTTTTTAACTCAAAGAGTACAAACCTGTGCTGTTTCTAATAGTACCAGCAGGACATTTGATCATTCTAGATGTTCCAATAGGACAATAGTGAGCTACTATACATAATCCATTTGATGGATATTGTGCTGTTGGAGTAGGTGCTTTACTTGTTGCTCCTCCTTCACAAAAATATCCTCCATCACAATCACCTAGATAAAGAAAAACATTGTTGATATGTGATTAAACAGTGACTCAATGGATTATTTTTATCAGAGACAATTATAGATGCTACCAGGCCTTTTCCACTTTCACTTTTCATCTGTTTATTGGTTCTCACTTCACTATTTCAAAACCTCTCAAGCAAGTTAAATTTTTATAGTGACTTCATTATCTGAGTTCCAGAAAATTTTAATAACTTAAATCACAGTAAGAAAATATACCTGTTGGGACCACATTTCCAGGACCTTCACAGTACTTCCCTGGTGAACAATTAGTACATTGACTAACAACTTCCATACTAGTTTTATTGTTATAGGTTCCTTCAGGACACGGTTGAGGTGACATATTGAAGGGACAATAGAATCCTAAAAAGTAATAAGGTTTGACAAATTTAGCATAGCATAGCAACAAGATCTCATGAACATAATACCCTCAGGCTGATTCTATGCTAGTTTATGTGTCAACTGAGAAATATCTGAATGCAAATAATCCAGAGCAGTTGTCTTACTTCATTGCAAATATAAATGGTTCAAATTAGTTAGCAAAATTGATAAAACTAGGTCTTGACTTCATTTGCTTGGTTATGTCAAATAATTGGTGGTCACAGTTTCTTATCTGTAATCAATATAAAAAGCAATTCCAAGAGAATTGGACAAGAACTACTAGTAAAGAGGATCCTTGTTAAGGTAAATCCTGGTATTGGGTATCACAAAAGAAGAAATTCTCCATTTATAATTTATAAATTTTTACCTTCTTTACATGGTAGTGGTGTAGTCATGTTCATGTCAGGACACATAAAGCCAACAGGACAGATAGTACAGTTGTCAGATCCATAGTTAGATTGGAATGTTCCTATAGGACAACCTTCTTCAAACTGAGCACCACCCAGACAGAAATGACCTGGTGGACACAAATATCCTTCAATACCATCACTTGGTGTAGCTGTTGTACTTCCACCAATACAGATATAACTATGAACATATGAAAAATATTTACAATTACAACTTGTATATAAAAAAACTTACCTTATAGTTACCGGGTAACTATAAACAAAATTGTTTAGTACATATCATATTACTTACCCAGGATCACACAATGGTGCTTCAGAAACTTTAGTAAAAGCAGCAATATTACAGTACCGTCCCCTCGGACATGGTTCACAATCATCTGGTTTAGTGACTTGGCGTTGTGTTGAGAATGTACCAATAGGACATGGTAGTGGGTAACTGGTACCATTAGTACAATAATAACCAACTGGGCATAGGTCATTACCAGTAAATGTTATATTGTTACTATGGTCAACCTGTAGGAAAGAAATAAGTCATTTGACATAATGACATGAAGAAAAATCTGCCAGTGGTGATCATGAGAACTATCAAAGTCTTGACTAAAAGGATCAGATGGGTAAAAGCTTTATTCTAAGGAACTTTGTGAGCAATTAGAATTGCAAAGCAGTAAGCAAAGGACATCTGGGTTTGTCATTCAATAGCACATAAAGCTGCATATATACAATTACCCACAGTATACCATGATCTTTTTAGATTATTATTGGATATTGATTCTGTTATATTTGCTGTATGGACAGATAAAGAATTTGCTTTAAGTTTACTTACTAAATGATCAATAGGAGTTTGTATATCAGCACTACCAGTACAGTAGTACCCAGCCCAACATTCTCCTGTAGGTACTGATAAACCACTGCGTTCACAATATAGTCCTCCAGGACAGCTTGTACAGTTCTCAATCTGACTATAATACTCATCAGGACCATAAGTACCAGGTGGACATGGATTAAACTGAGCTGCTACAGTTCTTGATGGACAATAATATCCTGTTGGACATGGTGTTGGTGTGGCCACAGGAACACCTAAATCAAATTAAATGGACTAAACATCCTGTGTTCCTTCATTTTATTTGGCTAATAATGTAGCCAACAGCATCAAATGCACACGTACAGTGACACAAAGTGGGTTTTTTTTTTATCAAGCTGTTGAGGATTAAGTAAACACAGCATACAGCACAAGCAGGCTCTTTGTCCCATTGAAGCAAGGCCTTTTAAGTTCTTATTTTGATTTTTGGCATATTGATTTAAGCATATTCAGGATTTGTCCCCAAATTGACAATTTCTTTGTATGTATGAAGGAATCAGTATTAGTATTTTATCTTCTACATATATAATACTACAGAAATAAATTGAGAAATATAAAAAAAACGAAACAAGTGATATTTACCATTAATATAAGTTATATTGCCTGGAAAATAATTAGTTATAGATATAGAATAACAAGATATAGAATAACAACATATAGAATAACTATTGTTTTATGGATAACTAATAACTATAACTAACATGCCACTATATCAACTACTTTTTTAGAAAGGTTCCTTTATAATTTTTAAAAATGTTAATGATAGTTGGTAATAAAACCAATTGCTGGGTGATTTTGAGCAGATTTGATGCTCATTGCAAGCAATTTCTTCCCAATTTTAACTGCAAAATAAATACACTGAGAGAGAAGGCAGAACTGATATGACACTTTGAGCACTGGGTGTTCAATAATAAAATGACATTTGCCTTTACCTCCAAGTCAACAAAGCTGAATTCTCTGCCATGTATGGCTGATTCAAAGACCAGTCAATTGACCAAGAGATATTGTTCAAAGGTTAATAAAGGTTAGGTATAGGTTAAAATTAAAAACAAAAATGCTATTTCCTTAATTTCCTAAATTACTAATGAATTTGATAAATGAGCTAATCTAATTGTCTAAAAATAATCTTGTCTATTAAACTTACCATTAAGTGCATCACAATAATATCCAGCAGGACAATCTTCACAAGAACTCTGTCCACTGTTATATTGATAGGTACCATTAGGACAGACTATCGGTGTTGTTGAACCCACTAAACAATAGTGTCCAGGTAGACACATATAATCTACCGGTGTTTTAGACTGTTGACCACCAGGACAGTAATAACCAGCATCACAATAATCTGTTGGTACTATATTACCTAGTCCTGAAATCAAATTGTGTATGGCGTTAGCACTTTGGGAAGAATAATTCTAACTATATGTGTTTAGAGATCATTATGTGGTTGTATGAATGACACAACATGACTCATGACAACATATGAAAAGCATGGATTGGCTTTGGCATCAGAATTTATTCTAGAATCTTTAACATCTAATCATGAAACATACTAGAATCCAACTCACTACCAACTACATATATGTCTTCAGCTAATCTAATTCCTAAGAATGATTTGGTGACTGAATCTGAAAGCTGTAAGAGGATGTCAGATTTGTAAAGTTGAATTGATAGTTGAAAGTTAGTTCTATCTTGTGATATAGCCAGTGGTTTCTGATGCCAATGTTTTTAACTTTTAAGCATACCTTGACAATACATTCCAGCAGTACAGTTTTGACAATGTGATAGTTGAGCACCATTTGAAGTATTGGCATATGTTCCTGTTGGACAAGTCTCTGGGATACTGGTACCTTCTACACAATAATGACCAGCAGGACATACATATTGGTTAGGTACTGAACTAGTTCCATTACAATACCATCCACTATAACAATTTCCTGGAATATTAAATGAAATGAAATGAATGGAGTTTTACGCCCTACTTTTCTGTCCTAATTACAGTCAATTTGAAAAGAATCAGTTGGTTGAATGTGGGAATGAGAATTAACCTTGAACCTGTAAATAGGCTGAATTGCAGCACACAACTCTTCAAATCATTCATATTCAGATTCTCTTTGATTGAAAGAATGCATATATGGATAAATTCAGTAGAAAGTTAAATCATTTCAAAAAAATGGTACCTGTAGGTGTCTCAAGACCTGGTAAAGCACAGAACTTGCCACCATCACATGGTTTTGGTTTGGGAGATCCAAGAGGACAATAGTGACCAATTGGACAAATACCACCAGTAGTCATAGGATATTCTATACATACACAATCCCATGTTGGGGTACACGTGTTATTGGAATACAGATCACTGAAACAGAAATAGAATCTGTAGATATACTTTCAACAGTTATGTGTTACTTAGCAGATTAACAGAATGCTCCAGTGTTATATCAGATACAGTATTCCTATGATTATTTTCTATCACAATCAGAAGATTTGAAGCATCTTTAGCTAAAAGAAAGAAAGAAAAAACTTGGGTTCACAAGAATCCTTTTTACCAGGTGGTCCTTAGCCATTCATGTTGGCTAACCATGATACTGAAGCTGATATTTCTATAAGTTGTAAGGACAAAAAAGCCAACATAATGTTACCTGCTCTTAATTCTGCAGGACAATATAAATGATCTTACCTTGATGTTCCATTGATGTAAGTAAGGAAACCAGGATCAAAGGGTCGTTTGTGCATTGATCCAGCTGTACAGAAGAATCCAGGATCACAGAGTCCTGTTGGATTAGTGTTGCCTTGACCCTGACAATAATATCCTGGTGGACATTCAATACAATCTTCACTTTTATTTCCTGCTCCTAAAATATGATCAAGAAAATGATGTTCAGCATCCTACTTTGTCAGTATGTAATTGATACTGATACTGAAGAGATAGAAAAGTAACAGTGTTCAGATCTACGTTACCAGAACATCTACAGCATTAACCTACTCTTTTTATAACACACAAGTTCAATTGCAACAAGACATGAAAGTAATAGGTGCGGCTCGATTGTAGAGTTTGAACATGTTACATCTGTTCCAGTAATTCTGACCCCAATTGAATGGCATGAAAGCAGATATGTCACATTCAAAATTTTCCCATCTATATCTTTCTCCGCCATTTTGATTTTGATGAAGCAGCCCCATAGTCTGTTCATTTGGCAATGTCATGAGACACCAGAGACGTCTTAAGGGATTAATAACATTGAGACATAATATATCTGAAAGGACTAGGATATTTCAGATACCTGTATATCCCGCAAAATATTTAAACAATACTAATGTACTAACCTGTATCATTATTAAAGGTACCCTGTGGACAAGGATATTGGTAATTAAATTCAGTAGCTGGTGGACAATAATGACCAGTAGGACAGATAACTGGTGTTATAGTTTCATTCTCACAGTAATATCCTACAAACACAACAAATTACAGTGAAAATGTGTTGCCTGAAATCACTGGAATTATCATATTTATTCAAGATGTAGCCCAGCCAGTGCCTTAGCATATCCATCATTATGCTGGCTACATCAAATTGGTAATTGTGTGTTTTAACCACCAGTATGCAAAATTCCAGAGCCCTCAATCCATCCATCTGTAAATGGGCTCAGACAATCTGGGAATGATCAGTGCCTAAAAGTTGAGCCAAGGCCCAGATGGTATAGCTACTTCTTTAAAATACAGTATAATCATTTTACAAAGATGGATATATATTTCTAAACAGTACCTTCAGGACAGATATAACATGCTGCCATAGTATCAGTTGGTGAGTATTTTCCTGGACTACATGGTATTGGATTGGTAGAATTAAGTGGACATTCAGACCCTGCTGGACAGCGATCACCTACTCCTGTATGGCTTATACCACTGTTTGGTGTGGCCACATTTACTCCTAAAACAAATTTTTGAGAAAAATATTCAATGATAATATGATAAAAGAACATCAGTTTTTTGTGGAGCTTACAGAAGATATAGGCAAGGATTATTGAAACTTTTCTTAACAGAGTATATTTGTGTTTCTCTTAAGATAACAGAAGAATTTTTGGCAGATAATCATAATGAGTCACTGTTTTGGCTTTTTTATGGGTAATTTTTATGCCTTTTTTCAAATTTTTGCAATTCTTGATTGGTTAATGGTTAAGACATACATTTCATAACACTCATCTAAGTATCAATATATCTATGAAAGTAACATATGCTTACCAGACACACAATAAAAACCAGCATCACAAGGACCTGTTGGCTCAGACAGACCAGGTAAGGCACAATATGATCCTCCAATACATTGAGTACAGTCACTTTCATTGGTAAGTTTATCGGTAGCACCAAAAGTACCCACAGGACATGCTTGGTAATTACTTCCTGTTCCAGGTGGACAGTAGAATCCTTGTGGACATGGTGTAGCTTCATCATTTTTGTTGCAAAAGAAACCTTCTGGACAAGGATCACATGCTGCAGCTCCTGTATGGTTCATGAATGTTGCTGGTGGACAAGATGTTGGCTGAATTGAACCCACTGCACAATAGTGACCAACTGGACAGATGTCTCCAGTTACTCCATCTGTAAAAAAGAGGAAACCAAATTCGGTTAAAGAATACATTGCACATCTCATAACCCCAATTCCCACTAGCACTAGCATTCAGAGGATACCAAAAGGGATGCCTGAGAAGCCCCATAAAAAATTTATTATTCTGTTAACACGTGTTGAATAAGTCAACTGGCTTAGAAGATTTTCAAGTTCTTCTTTTCTCTTACCATCATCTAGTTAACTATCCTAACTTAAAAGCTACCCATAAAAGAGATGAAACCTACCTGTAGGATTTGGTATTTGTGCTTTACTAGTACAATAGTATCCAGCTAAACATTGTCCAGTAACTGTATCATTACCATCTTGTAAACAATAGTAGCCTGGGTCACAGTTTATACATGATGTTACTAATTTCTTCCCTGGTAATAAACATAGTATAGTACAAATCATACATACCCATCAAATCCATAATCCTTCAATTCAAATGCTGACAAATTTCCATTAGATATTAGGTGAATGTCATGAACAAAAATAGTCCCCCAAAAAACCAACATTTTTAATCTTTTCATAGCAATTTATGATAAAGTTTTACCTTGTTGTGGTTGGTATGTCCCCTTGCTACAAGGAACAGGCACTGGTGTACCTTGTGGACAATAATGACCAACTGGACATAAATAACCATACGACTGTCCAACAGGTGCTGGTTCTGGAGATCCAACTTCACAATAATAACCAGCAGTACATTCTGCATAGGGTTTGATCAACCCTTGTGATGGACAGTAATACCCTGGGTCACATGGTATACATTCATTAGCGTACCTTAAACCAGTAAAATTATTATAGGTACCCAGAGGACATTGAGTTCCTGTAATACATAATGAGATCACCTTTTCAATAAATAACATGTTTAGCAGGGTGTGTAAACGGATTGTCTCGGGATTTTTTTTTGTACAAGAGTCTTTTGTAGAACATGGTCGCAAGATAACTTGCAAGATGGTTGATTGGATTCTCAAGTTGGTCTATAAGAAATTAGATGAGATTATCTTCATGTGAAAGTTTTTTGTTATATTCTCGTAAGATAATCTATGAGAGATGATGTGTCTGTAATGTTCATAAAGATATTATAAAGATAATATGAATTGCTTCTCTACTTACCAAAAACGGATCCCTCTTCACAATATGAGCCTTCAGGACAGATATTACCAGTGGTACCATCTGTAGGAGTTGGAGTACTAGCACCACCCTGACAGAAATAACCAGCATAACATTTGGCTTCTGGTGCTGTTAGTCCTGATTGAGCACAATAATATCCATTACTGCATTCCTCACATTCAACTGAAATAAGTAAAATACAACTAGAAGTTTCGGGTTTAATTTAACAGCTGAAAAAATCATGTGGCCTGTGTAGCAGCTTTGTGATTATGCCTCTATTGTCATCTTCCTCAGCTTCAGCGTGTAGCATTCATAAGCATAAATTGTTCAAAGGGTTGAAAATAAATGAAATGGATAAATAAGCAACCATTGGAGTCTGAAACATAATCAAACTTACCACTAGATTCAAAACCTGGTGTATTACTAAATGTACCAGGTGGACATGGATTGGTATACTTATATCCTGTACTGAGGGGACAGTAATGACCAACTGGGCAGTCTACAGGATTAATAATACCAGTAGTATTACCAAGTTCATAAGGATCACAATAAAATCTGGAAGGACATTGGTCACATGTACCCATGCCTGTCGAAAATTGGTAAAAACCTTAAAAAGACAAAAAAAATCATAGTACATGTATCTTAACATTTCATTACTAGTCTCAAGAATGGACACAAATATATAATGGCATTTAAGTTTTTGATTTTGTTTCAAAAAGTTACATATTTACCTCTAGGACACATAATAGGTTGATCTGATCCTGTTGGACAATTGAAGCCTTGAGGACAGATGAAGGCTACTGGAGCAGCTGTTGTTTGTCCTTCTGGACAATAATAACCTTCATCACAAGGATTTGTTACTTGTACTAAACCTAATCCATCACAATAATAACCTGAAATATTAACAATGGTCATGATATGTCTTAAGATGAATCATTAACTTTTGGCATAACTTTTTCCACAAAGTTCAATCGAAAAAAAAATCAGAATTTCATGTAAAGAAAAATTATAAGTGACAATGGATATTTTAGGACTTACCTGGTGTACATGGCTTACAATCAGAAACATTAGTATTACCAGTAGAATTAGAAAAGGTACCGATAGGACAAGCTGAAGGTACACTAGATCCTTCTGGGCAGTAGTGTCCACTTGTACAAATACTATCTACAGGATTTGATACCTTCTGACCACTAGGACAGAAATAACCAGCCTCACATAAACCTGAAAAAGTTTCCAAAACCTCATAAATTAATGAGTTCCCAGAGTGGTTTTCCAAACCTTGTATGTACCTTTTTGACACCAAGTTGTTCTAGAATTTCAGGAGCCACAAAAGATGGACAGGAAATCTGCATGGCACAAATATTGACCCTGATACATAGAGACAGGCCAGAAATCTTCTTTTGAGAAGTATCAAAGACAAGACCAAATCCGATTTTCCAAAGCTCTTACATGTAAATTACCTACCTGTTGGTGTTGACAGTTCAAAAGCATCACAATAAGATCCTGAATCACAGTTGATAGGTGCTGATGATCCTGGAGGACAATATGATCCTGGTGTACATCTACCACCAGTTACATCATAATCAGGGCAAGTACACATATCTCCAGTTGTAAAGTTTCCTGAAATTACAATGTATTCTAAAATCAAGATGGATCAAAGTTATTTCTGTTGTTTTTCCAAGAATTTCTAATACTCATGATTGTTATGAACGGCATTTTGCAATACTTATCTTAATTCACTTAAGTCCCCAACAAAAGCAAACGTCTCAATACGGTCAAATTCTCATGCTTGGTAAATAACATGTTGAAATAAAACATACCATTGACTATCGGTTGAGACTCTGTAGCACCACCAGAACAAAACCATCCTGCAGAACAGTTACCTGTGGGTTGGCTATTACCTTGACCACTACAATATTGACCAGATGGACACATCAAACATGATGTAGCAGATGTTTGTATAGTGTTAGGATTGTAGGTTCCTTCCAGACATTTGTACTGCATATCATTCTGAGTACCAGGTGGACAGTAGTGACCACTAGGACATGGTGAGATGTAAGGGTCACTGGTATTGACCAGGCAGTAATAACCACTGACACAGATATCACATGCTCCTTTTCCTGAAAAAGAATGGCATACATACAGAGAATTACTAAATACATATGCACACCTACCTCTTGTGGTTGAAAGATTAAATCAAGACTGATCTGTCCAAACTTTCCCAATGCAGAAGCTGTTCCTAAATAGCATCAAACAAGCTTGTCACCAAATACCAACCATATATCTATCTGCATCCATAAGACCTGAGAGTCTAAAAGGCTAATTAAACTGAACTTACTAGATATGGAGGTATAAGTTCCTGATGGACAAGATGTTGGTAACACAGAACCCACAGGACAATAAGAACCAGGTGGACATTCACCACCATTTCCCTTATGAGGAGTACCATCTGATGGAGTGGCTGTATCACTTCCCACTTCACAATAAAATCCTGCTTGACATTGTCCATCTGTATCTGGAGAACCAGGTGTTCCACAATATTCTCCACCTATAAGATAGCAAATCGTTTCAATTTTTCATTCTGTTTAAATTACAGCAGCATCAGCACAAATATCAACAGCAGCATTAGTAAAATCATCACAAGCAGCAGCAAGGACAGCAGCACCACAATCATCAATACCAGCTCAAGGTGAAACAGCAGTAGCAGCACTTGCAACAGAAGCAGTATCAAAATCAGCATTATCACCAGGATCACCATTAGCTTCACCAAGTGGTATTAGCACAGCTATACCATGACTGACGAAAAAAATCACCAAAAAATGATGACTTACCTCTACAAGATGTACATTCTGATTGTTGGGAAAGACCAGTAGTATTACCGAAAGTACCAGTAGGACATGGTTGTAAGTCTGCACCGGTACCTTCTGGACAGTAATAACCTTGACGACAGACATCCGCTGAATCACGGTTGACACAATAATAACCAGCTGGACATGTATAACAACTAGAGGCACCAGTGTGATTCATGTAGGTTGAATTCTGACAGGCTGTGGGAGATGGTGATCCTTCTTCACAGTAATGACCAATTGGACAGATATCACCTGAATAAATGTAATTTGAAATGCCGATTACAATTCGTCAAATCTGATTTTTTAAAAGTATTGTGTTTGGATAATTTTGATCTCTATCAGCTGTTGCATCATGAATCTCTTTAACATTGAGTTGCAATCAATAAATTGCAGCTCTTCAGCTTACAGCCAACAGAATCAAGAACATGGTGTTAAGATTCAAGCTCTAATAGACTAAGCTACAGCCTGTCATTCTGAATTGAGAAAGAATTTTGTACCTGTAAGCCCATCAGTTGGTATAGAGTTATTGGCTCCTGATGTACAATAATAACCAGCAGAACATAGACCTGTTACATTTGTCTTACCCCAAGTCTCACAGTAACTACCTAGAAATAAACATCATCAAAGATTTGAAAGACATTATAACAAAAACAAATACTCATGCATCAAATGAATTATCAAATGATTGCATTCTTGCATTACCTATGATGACAACACTCTAAAGTTTTTGCTTCTGTTTTTGAGTCAAAGATACGTCTGGTTAATAATGATTTTTAATTCAAACAGTATAACTTACCTGGACTACAGTTGATGCAATCACTTATATCACCTAAACCAGTTTGATCCAAATAGGTTCCAGGGGGACAAGGACTGGGTGTTGATGTACCATTAGGACAATAATAACCAGCAGTACAGATATCACCATATACTTTTCCTATAGGTGATGGCTCTCTGGATCCTAGACTACAGTAATAACCTGCAAAGCAATTGGATATTATATCGATAACATGTTTTAGGGTCTCAGGTTCGTACATCAAAGTGACAAGATACCTTTTTGTGAGCCAGTCTCTCCAACCTACCGTACTGACAAAGGGGAAACTGGATATGAAAAATATCGAAGCCAAAAGCAGGTTCTACTCCCAGCACCCAGATTACAAAGTACAGAAAGGAAACAAAGACAAGCTTACCTGCCCAACAAGTACCAGATTGTACTGTCAAACCAGTTGTACTACAATAATGACCTGGTGTACAGGCGGTACAATCTGTTGAAGATTGTAAACCAGTTCGGTTACTAAATGTTCCAACAGGGCACCCTAAACCAGTGATACTACCAGTGATACAGTATTTACCCATAGGACAGATATCACCTGTTACCCCATCAGTTGGTGTTGAGTTGTACGCTCCAAGTGTACATATATATCCTGCAGCACATTGCCCTGATGTTTCTGTATTTCCTGAAATTTAAGATCATATGAACCAGGGGATATGATAAAGGGGACCTTAGTTTAAAAATAAGGTGTTTTGAACTGAGCCTGAAAGGATAAAAGCTTATAGATTGAACATGAATTCAAATCAGATGTTGGATACCATCTTTCAGATAATTCAGCTTCAGAATCCTTTATGAAATTTCATCTTACCTTCTCCAGCACAATAAGAGCCAGGATCACATGGTGTACATTGAGAATCTGTGGATAATCCAGTTTTGTTACCATAGCTACCTGGAGGGCACATATACTGAGTTTCATGTTGAGTACCCTGAGGACAGTATGAACCTTGTGGACAGATGGAGGGTACTGATACACCTCTGTAGCTTCTGTATCTTCCAGAGAAATTACCACTTGTTGTCATGTTACCATCATCCAAAACTTCATAATCTCCTGTGTAAGAGAAAAAATTACCTGATGCTTACTGTTTCTGAGTATTGCAGTTTCTTCTCTGAGCCAGCCAAGAGAATTCTACCAGAACCACAAGATCTTGACCATGACCTTGTTCCTTGAATTCCCACCAAACCATACATAAAACATATCATGCTACCATATACAACACAACATTATATTATGTATGCTCAAAAGATCACAACATATTCTTACCAATTGCTTTACAATAGGAACCAGCTGGGCAAGCTTCACAATCACTCTTCTTCCAGTGAGGTTGATAAGTACCAGATGGACAGCCAGTTTGATTCCAACTACCAGATAAACAGAAATGCCCTGGACTACAAGCCAGATTGACAGGTCTAGGTGATTCTTGACCCTCTGGACAGTAATAACCAGCATCACATGGACCGTTTGGAGATGACAAACCATATTCCTGACAGTAGTAACCGGCATCACAAGGTAAACAGTTTGTGATATTCACATTTCCTTCTCGGTCTAAAATGAGAAAGATTTGGTTTTTTTAATGGTTTAAACAATACGTGTAGTTCTTACTTAAGTATTCATAAATGCAACCTATGCCTCCTAAAAGTCATAGACAGAAGTTTAAAATTCAGAAATGTCAAAAAAGTTCCACTTCTCAAAGACTTTTATGCAATGCAATACTCAAACAAACTAAATATCTACTTTACCTGAATATGTTCCTGGTGGACAGAGTTCTTCAACCAGTGTTCCATTTGGACAGTATCTGCCTTTAGAGCAGGGTTGTGGATCAGGAACTGTTGAACTACCATTACAATAGTAACCAGCATAACAATCACCTGATGGTTCTGACAGAGCATGTATCTCACAATACTGACCCAGTGGACATGGCACTGGTTGTGAACTTCCAATTGGACAGTAGGTTCCTGAAATGATAGTCATTCATTCAATCGAGGGATCTTCAATGATGCTAGAACGGAGGTATTATTGGAGAAAGGTGGTCATCGTAAGTAGGCTGATATATGTCACTGGTTTTTTACAATATAAAATCTTACCTGGAGTGCATATTCCACCAGTATTTTGTAATGAATATATTGGACATGTTGTATTGTCATCATTAGTGGTATTGACTACAGGTGAAGGTTTATTACTAAAAGCACCACCTGAACAGAACCACCCAGCAGCACATTGACCTGTTGGTATCTCTAAT